GCCCTTGAGTAGATATTATATCCATTGAGATCTGTCTAGAGCAGGAATGATCACTTTCTAAGCTTAAAAAAATGTAAACTTTAGCTTTTTTTGCTGCCACATGATCAGGTCAATTGTTTTGTTTTGTTTAACTAAGATTGTGAAAATGACACACATTGACAGTTCAAGAGCTAATGTATATCATTAAATTTATTTAATAGTATTTGTTTTCCAAATAGTCTAACAGTCGTTTCTGTTTGCTGTTTACTTTAGGGGTTATAACTTTTATGGCTCTATAGTGTCCTGTTTTGTGACACAAGAATAATAATTATTATTCCAATCATTTTAGCTCAGATATTTATGACAATATTAAAGAGGGTTATAATACAGCACACCAGCAAACATTTTTGGAATGTGATTTAATCATTATACTAGGTATAATAACTGTATAACTTACCTTGCCTTTCAACCAAAGATGGGACAATAAAAGGCAGATTGTTAGGCATAGTAATATTTTGATTTTACTTTCATATTATTTAAAGTTTTGATTGGTATGTGTTTAGCTTTATTGCTCAATCCTTCATCATTGTTTTTTTAACAGATATTAAGTTATGAACTAATTTTGACGCAAATATATGAAAAAATATTTCTGAAAGGGCTACTGTTTTTAAAACAGTTTAGACAAACGTTGGATGACATTGGTCTTGCCAAAACATTACAGAGATTACCAATTGGCTCAATTGGCTCTACTCAGTTCATTTCATTCTTTTATAACAGCTGATCACAGAGTTCAATGTTGACTTTTAATGATAGCCTGTCATCAGCCACAGCTGTTTGATGGCACCTTTCTGTCTAGTCAAACATTCCATAGTAATGAGCCAAAAATTATTTTTTTTTTTAATTGGCACTTTATTTTGTTTAACTTCAACTTTGATCTAATATATTACTACTGTGACATTTTGTAAGTGTGCCCTTTTATATTTATATATATATATTTATTTCCTTTATTTAGGAGGGGGCTGGGGTCAAGAGAGTTGTTTAAAAAAATTAAACCTTTTTTTTTTTACATCCACACAGCTCATTGTATTTATAAAAAAGTCTTGAATAATAATAATCTTAATTTGTTGTTGATGTTAGCTTTTAGAAGCCACTCTACATTGTACATAATTATTTTTCATAATTATTTTTCTATTTTAAACCATGCCAGTTAAACAGTTTGAAATAAATGGTTTGACTCTTAACCAAATAAGAAACAACTTTTGTGATATTTGTTTTGTAAAACGATTTGTTTTCCCATTCTTGGTGATGAGGCTTATGAGGTCGTGGTCACAGGAAAGGAATGTAGTTTAAGAGAAATGACACCATAAGTTGAACGCTCTGAGAACTGCAGCTATATTTAGTTCAATAGGAATTATACCATTTGCTAAAAAACTTGTAGTTCAATGTAGTTTAAAAGCTGTTATTACATCAAAGTAAAAGGCAAGAGTACAAACAAACATAATTCATTTTTTCTAAAAAAAAAGAGTGGCCTGCATTTACACTCTTATGATTATCTGGGATCCACAAATCAAGATGACCTGTCTCTAGAAGGGGAGATAAAAAACGCATAGGGAAGGCTGCCTCGACCTTCGCTAGACTCAGGCCAAGAGTTTGGGAAAACCAGAAGCTCACTACGGGAACCAAAATGGAAGTCTACTAGGCATGCGTTATCAGTACACTGCTGTATGGCAGTGAATCATGGACCACCTACGCAGTTCAAGAGAGAAAACTGAACTCATAAGAGATATAATGTTATGGGCCAATGTTAAGTAATAAATGATACACAATCGAAGTGAGATTAGATTAGCCCATAACATTATTTTATGTCTCCATAGGATCTTGAAAGTCACATGGAAAGAAAAAGTGTGCAATACTGAGATCCTTGCGCGATCAGGTATTCCCAGCATCTTTACAGCCCTCAGACAACGTCGTTTGCGCTGGCTTGGACATGTTCGCCGAATGGAGGACACGCGCATCCCGAAAGTCATCCTCTACGGACAACTCGCGACTGGCACAAAAAAAAAAAAACTGGTCGCCCCCACCTCCGTTACATAGATGTAATAAAACTGGACCTCAAATCAGCCTACATCAATACTGTAAATTGGGAAGACATAGCTCTAGACCGTACCAGATGGAGAGAGACAGTGACCAAGAAAGCTATGGACAGTGAAAGAACATGAGTCTCAGCTCAGGAAGAAAAACGTACAATCTGAAAAATGGCCAGCTCCTCTACCACCGAAGCAAAAGCCACCTTAACCTGCGCTATTTGTGGACGGGAGTGTCTCTCCAAAATAGGGCTCCACAGCCACATTATGAAGTGTGCTCTGAGATGAACCATAGTCGTTCTACGACTGAAGGAGGCCAATAGTAGTGTAGTATAGATTATAGAATTGCATTTATGTTTTGTAAACCTAAATTATATTGTAGAAAAAAAAAAGAAGAGATAAATGAGTGCCTATGATTGATTGTATAGACTACTGCATGGTCTGAAATGGGAACTTTACATTTTTAGTGGCCCCGAAAGGGGAATAGACGCTATTAGTTTTGTGTGGTCCGTCCCGTTTAGAGCTCGTAAACTAGAAAAGATATTGAAAATCCGACATCATGATATTTTAGACCATTCAATGTTCTGATGCAGTGGCTACTTTTTTTCTAAAAATGAAAAATAGTACCACTTCCTCATATGGCTGTGGAGCCCTATCCTGTAGAGACACGTCTATCCGCAAACACCGCTGGCCAATGAATAAGTAGTCTTCATATGATCACGTGAACTGCAGATCCACAGAAACACTGAACTAAAGAAAGGGGAGATTTTTTTTGTTTTACGAAAATGTTTTTTTCTTGAGGGTTTGAGTAAGCGATTGACCCTTTACAGAACAATTAGATAATCATTAAATGACTTTAATTAGGCTAGGTCCACATCAAACTACTCTTTCACTTTCACCTATCTCTTGGTCAGCTGGACCGTTGGGGCACCACACAAGATCTGCCAACTTTCTTTCTCCATTCTTCTATGTCATTTGCCTTTGATAGAATTTGATTTTGATATTCTTTCTGAAAATATTGAAACCTGCCCTTTGGGTGGACCACTTCAGGGGCCGATTTTGAGTTTCGGTTCGCACACAAACCAAAGTTTCTATTATTTGCTTTTCAAGCATTAAGTTTTGATCTCATGTAAGTAAGCAACCGATTCAATTCAGCATTTCTTTTTATCACTCGACCACAAAATATTTCTCATCAGTTCATCTACACTAAAGAAAGCCTCCAGGCGTTTATGAAATGATCACTCTATATGTCCCCCAGACAGCCCTGCATTGCATGCTTCTAATTGAAACTTTTTTTTTTGTTGTTTTTCCTAAAAAAATAAGGTTAGCTGGCTTTATCAGCGCACAGACTAAATATTTGGAACTCGAGGTTGGACAAATCACATGCTTCACTACATTCAAGAAGAACATTTAAAACCAACCTGTTAAAAATATATCTAGACTAGCAGTATGTTGTTTCAGTAGCGTAGCTAGGGGAGGGGAATTTGAAAAATCACCCTGGGCCCCTTACTTGAGGGTGGGGGGCACACAAATGAGTGTTATTTTACATGAAATATTAAGCAAAATGCATGGGCCCCAAAGAGGTCAAGCCCCCCCCCCCCCCCAGATGGAAAATTCCTAGTTATTATGGTCGTAACACCCACAGCCCTATTTTATTTAAATTCCAATTAACGGGACACATCTGAACCATCTCCTAAAATACTATTTAGTCTGTGAATTCTAGTATCTTACAATAAAATAAAAAAGATCTGCTCTCATTCTGTTTCCTTCTCTCTCTCTCTGGAAACCCCTGCACTCATTCTGTTTCATTCTCTCTCTCTCTCTGGAACCCCCGCTCTCATTCTATTTCCTTCTCTCTTTGGAACCCCTGCTCTAATTCTATTTCCTTCTCTCTCTCTCTGGAACCCCTGCTCTTATTCTGTTTCCTTCTCTCTCTCTGGAACCCCTGCTCTTATTCTGTTTCCTTCTCTCTCTCTGGAACCCCTGCTCTTATTCTGTTTCCTTCTCTCTCTCTCTGGAACCCCTGCTCTTATTCTGTTTCCTTCTCTCTCTCTGGAACCCCTGCTCTTATTCTGTTTCCTTCTCTCTCTCTCTCTGGAACCCCTGCTCTTATTCTGTTTCCTTCTCTCTCTCTCTCTGGAACCCCTGCTCTTATTCTGTTTCCTTCTCTCTCTCTCTCTGGAACCCCGGCTCTTATTCTGTTTCCTTCTCTTCCTCTGGAACCCCTGCTCTTATTCTGTTTCCTTCTCTCTCTCTCTGGGACCCCCGCCCCTCACTTTTTTTTTTTCGCCCAGCATACTGTTTTATGACCTATACTTTTGGCTTGAATTGAAACGACCAGCTTTATAATGCTAACCTCCTCCAAGACACATACGCTATTTCTGACCTATACTTTTGGCTCGACACACTTTATAATGCTAACCTCCTCCAAGACAATGAAATGTTATTTTTGCCCATGAACTCTAGTATCACTTTTACTTTCCCTCCCACTCACATGCAAAAAATAGTTTGATCTGCAATAATAGTTTCTGACTTTTCTTTGGCTTCTCAATTCAAAATCACAATATCTTATTCACTTGATGTAGCTTTTTGACTGTACATTCTTTAATTTTAAGACACTTTTTCTCTGATATGGAGTTCTAGAACTCAATAGATCAATTCTTAGGATTTTTTTCATGTTCCAAACTTGACAATGGGAAGAATCTATCATTACATGATCAATCATAGCAAACTTAATTTTTTTTTTCATGATTTATTTACATTTTAACATTTTACTTTCCTTTTCAATTTATAAATTCAAACTCTCTTTTGAACCTGTTCAGTTTGATCTATAATCTTGTAAATGTATTCACAATAGTTTCTGAAATATTCACATTTGAAAAAAAAATTGCTTCACTTTTTAAAAAAATTCTCTATATAAAGTCCATACGATGTCAAGGCTTCTTAACAAACTTAAAATCTCAATGACTTTCGAAACAATAATTCTAGCAAATTTGGTGTTGATGGAAAGCATTTTTCATCCTCTTTCATTCTATTTACACATTTATTGTGAGGATTAATTAAATTTTTGGATGCAACCACCTAGTTTAAGTGATTTATTGATACATACATACATGAATCAAAGGTACTTGGTAAGTATATACAAGATTAGTTTACCATTTTAACTTTCTTTATAGTGCATTGGGCCTACATGTTTGTCAACAGCACTTAATGCATTCAATTATTATTACTAAAGAAAAGGTAATGGTGTAACAAAGCAATGTTTATTCAATACACACAAATAAAGTTCAAAGAATGTCAATTCAATCACAATATAGTAATATGTACATTTCAAAACTGTCATACAAACAACATGGAGGCTATCTACACACAATGTCAGAAAAATGATTATGCAGAAGATCACAAAACAACTAGATCTAATGGGTTAGGTATGACAATGGGAAAGTTCACTTTTTGTGTGTCTGATTGATAACAAGGGTGTTATGTAGCCTGCACAATGACTAACAACTTTTACGCAGACCCAGATTAAAGTTAGGTAAACACAAGTTATACTAAAAATAAAATAAATAATAAAACCTTCACTAAGAAATGTCAATCCTCATCTGGATTACATCTTGGGATCTTTGTTTTGAAAAAAGAAAATATTTGAAAACTTTCCCCAGAATTTGATAAGGACTGTTATAAATTAGTAATAGAAATCAAAAAGTAACAAAGCACACTTTAAAAAACAAAAATGAAATGAAATGTTTTGCATAAAAAAAAATTAATAATTTACAATTGTGAAAAACTCTTACAATTACTTTATTGTAAAGTCTAGCTGAATTTTAACATAGAATATTATTCAAAGAAATGTTTAAGATCAATACGTGATATATTTAAAAGAAAAGAAAAATATCTAATTTTCATAGAGATAAAGCTGTAATTTCATTACGCTATTGTAAAAGAAATTCATTTTGTAAGTTCAATTTTATCTTTATTCTGCCAGGAGTAGTTCCCAAAGACTAAAGGATAGGTAAAAATGCCATCATTATTATTATAGTATTCAAAAGCAGAATTCATGTTTTGAATTTTATTTTTAATCAATACATTTTTCATTTTCATCTGTTGTTTATTTGATACCCTTGACAGTGTAAGAGAATCTATTATTTACATTCAAAATAAATCTAGATTTTGTTTTGCATCTTATTTAAATACTTTGCAGTACAGCTACAGCCTTAAGCAAAAATTAATGATTCTATCTTTAATTTGTCTTATCATAATTAATCAAGTATAAACATATGATGTTATTAAGCAAGACTACTGACCAAAATTTATTATGCATAAATATTTAGATACAAAGTGTATATAATTTGCATAATAAAGCCTAAAAACTAATCACAATGTTAGTTTAAATGAGTCTATCGTGGTCCCTCTTAATATAAAAAAACTATTTTCTCCTGTGAGGCTAATAACATACAAACACATCAGGTTTGTTTGTTTTTTTTGGGGGGGGGGGGAAAAGGGAAACTTAATTTCTTACTTAACTGGTAATCTATTTTAACTCTTATTATTTGAAAGCATTTTCTCTGAGAAATAACTCATGTGATCATTTATTTACATTCATTTTATTTTATGAATTACTCATGGAGTGGGGGGGGGGGGGGGGGGGGGGGGGGTGAGGGGGCTAAAAACAAACAATAAAATCTATTAAGTCCCAGACATCACAAATAAGTCCCAAACATTACAAATAAGACCTTATTCTTTGGGATGAGATAAAAACAAAAGTCATGACTTTAAAATGGCACTAAATAAGTCAGCCTATAGAAAATCTGCCTTGGTCAGACTCCCTTGGTGACAACCACAATGACCACCACAACTCCAGCTAGGATGAGAAAAGGGAGCCAGGTCTTGACAATGCCCCAGAAACTTTGTAGTGAAGAAAAAAAATTAACAAAGTAAATTTGATAAAAAATGCAATTTTCATAAAAAACTTTGGGTAATATTAAAAATTTAATCTACATTGCACTGTTAATCAAACATAATGTTGTAATTTTTTTTACTTTTAAATGAAATCATACAAAAATGATAGCTAGTGGGTGGGGTTATGGTAGTGTTTGGTTGTAAATCAAAATATCTTAGCTAAGAAATCTGGCTTCTTCTAAGCTGCACCCAGCATTTTTTTCTTCCAATGTAACAATGAATTCTAAAAGCTTAAGATGTTAAATTAGTGTTTAAAGTAGTTTAGACCATGTGAGTGATAATTTTAATGATGACAGCTGAATAAGACATATAGTATATTCATTCTGAAACAAGATTACTTTTTTTATTATCTACAATCTTTGAATTATGTAACCGGTAGGGTTACATATATGCATGTTTATTTTATTTTCTATACAGTTCCCCCCCCCCCCCCCCAGCAGCAGTATATCTTTGTTTTTGAGTCTGTTTACTTTAGTATTACATTTTGTAACTATACCAGTTAAAAATATAGTTATGTCTCATCATCCATACATCTTGCAAATCAACAAGGAATGAAGCGAAAGTCCTATCCTTTATCCGATTACATCATACAAATAATCTTAAACACTTGTAAGCTAGTCAAATTTTAATACTTATAATTCTTAGCTTAGCTGATTCCTTGAATATTTTGTAATGATCAGTATAGTAATGTTATTCTAGAAATGATACATTTAATATTCAACAATCAGTTCAGATGAAATGTTTGTGAGATACAAAAGGTCAACAACATCAAGCCTACCTGATATATTTTCCATGAAGCAACATCAGAAAACACAGTTTGATCATGTTCCAGTTGCTACTCCCATTGTAGTTCATTAGGTTCAAGGCCATGGCCACATGGGAGTGACAATTATCACAGCAAAGATTATGCTGCAACAGAAAATACAAATGATAAGTGAAAACATACTAAAATCACACATACAATATTGAAACTGTTGGGGGCTTGGTCACTGAGTGGTAAGTGCTTGGAATACAAACCAAGGGGTCTTGGGTTAAAATGTTGTTGAAGACTGGGATTTTGAGCTTCAGGATTTTTGGGACACCCCAACTCATTAGTTAGGGAAAGTAAAGGTGGTTAGTCATTGCGCTGGCAACATGAAACCCTCAATAACCATCAGACATAGAAACATTGTCTGAAAGGGGTAATTTTTTTTAAATTGTAAGACTGTAAGAATGCCTTGTCTAGTCTTAGACTCAAAGATTAAGGATGTTTACAGTATTTCATTAACTTTGCAGGCATAGTAGTGACCTACTATTTTGCCAAAACCAACACAGACAGAATTTTGTCAGCTAGTGGCCATTTAAATATTGCCAAAGTAAAAATGAATCACTCTCATGTCATGTTCATAAATTTTGCATAGTTAGCAAATCTCAATTAAAAAAACAAAACAACAAAAGAAAATAAATGGATCTTTGATGAAGTTAATGAATAAAGTGTCAAAATAATTGAAGTCCCAGATAATAACATTTTGGGTTTCTTACAAATATTTCATTCCTTGTGTAAAAAAAAACATCAACCAACAAACTAAAGGTCATTAAATTTTATTTAGAAAAAAAGATAATTTCTCTTCTAGCTTAAATTTAAATGTGATATTCTAAGACATAATAAATAATTACCATCCGATGTTTATATTCTTCCGAGGCATCAGCCACACCCCTGTCCCATGATTCTTTACCATTTCTGGCTTTGAGCAGATCCAGCTGCCAATATCTAGAACAAGAAGATAGTATACTGACACTTTTCCAACACTTACTTTGTTAGATCTACCCAATTAGTACATTCACAACTCATATAGTTATAGAGTATTATGAGGGAATAGAAGTTTAAGTATAAAAGGAAGAAAATTATTTTCCATACATCAAAATAGGATTACAATTGGCTTTTGATAAACTTACACTCTTTAATTCAGCATACTTTGTAATTCACAATGGCTATTGGGCCCAATGATAACATCCTAACACTGTCAAAAATTCAAACTAAAAGTGTATGGTTATAGCACAAAGTCCTCAGGTCTCGCAAAGATCTTTATTCATGGAACAGTACCAGGAAAAAAAAAGACACTGACAGAAAAGTAATGGAAAGACAACATTAAAGAATGGATGGGCCTGTCATTGAAAAAAAAAATGAAATTAAATCAAAAGACAGAGAAAGATGGAGACAGTCCAACAAACTAAGGATAGGTGAAAATGAAATTTATTTAATTAATGTATACTGTAGTACAGGGCTGGCGAACCTTTTTTAGTCCGAGTGCTAATTAATTTCAATTTAAAAACAATGAAGATTGTTGCGTGCCCAGTAGGTCTACTAGTGATGCCGCTATATAAAAGAAGTGCTACAGCCAGTAAGTCAACTGCATGTATAAAAACAGCTTAGTAACAATATTACTTGTTTATTAAATTTTATTATCCTGAACTTCAGATTTGAAGTCTTAGGGCAGGTCAATCAGTGCGACTTCTGCTGTTGTGTGGTAGATGATAACAGTTTGATATCTGGTGTATACCATGTATTCTTCAAAGTTACACACGCCGCACTTAGGTTCATCGGTCAAGCAACTTCTGACATCTGATTTAATATAATTCATTGTAGAAAATAAAGATTCGCATGAGTAAATAGATGAGAAAATTGACAGAATGGATGTTGCTAATTTTATCAGAGAATTGAAAGTTTTAGGCAAGTCATTCCAAACTTGAAGAATCTCATTTTCTGCTAATATCTCATGTCTAATAATCCATTTAACCGTTCACGTTCAATTAATTCAAGTCGTATTCGTAAGTCAATAAATTTCTGTCTCCAAATTGCGCTGGACTGAAACTAAACAAGTTGCATTTCAAAGTCGTGTAATCCCATCCAAGAAAACATGGTCAAATCCAGAGTTTCAAAATCTACTGTATCTGGATATTTTATAAATTTGGAGGTGTACCGTACTCGAATTTTCGAAATTGTTCAAAACGCAGTGAAAATTGTTCAGCAGTTGTGTCAATTATCTCTACAAACAATCTTTTCTGATAATCTTTGCCGGTAGTATCATGAACTTTTAAAATTATCATAAAATTTCTTCAGTTTGTTAAAATATTTTAATTCTTCCTTTTCTATGTCACATTTGTAAATCTTCAACTTTTTCTCAAATGCTGTCAAGATGTCAAATGCCTGATCGACAGATTTTCCGAAACCTTGCAACTTCGTATTAATCGGTAAAAAAAACCCATTAGTCTGATAAGCCAGTCAACATTTGTCAATTCTGAGCAATTTTGTTTGTTATCATCCATAAAAATTCGAATTTCATCATGGCATTCCACAAACCGTTCCAGAACGTGACCTCGGCTTAGCCAACATACGTTGTTGTACATTAATAAGCCAGAGTAACTGGAGTGAACTTCATTTAGCAGCTGTTCAAATTTTCTCTTATTCAAAGCACGGGCAGTAATGAAGTTTACGGTTTTTGTTACACATTTCATAATGTCTTCAAGTTCCTTTAAGCGGTTTTGAACATAGGGCTTGTTGGTGCACAATGCAGTGAAAAGTTATTAGTGGGTGTCCAACATGTCCTGTAAGCAAAGTAACGAAACCTGCATCTTTTCCAGTCATTTTTGGAGCACCATCAGTTGTAACAGAAACTATTTTTTTGAGATCTACACCTGTATTTCTGAGTTCAGTCACAACAGTTTGACTTATATCTGCACCTGTTGTTGTCGTTGGTAAAGTTGCTAATTTTATTAGTTCTTCGTGTATTTCATTTCCTTTGCTATATTTGGCAATGATGGCCAGTCTAGCGGACATTGTCACATCAGTACTTTCATCAAGGCAAATAGACTAGGCTTGACATGCATTAATATCCTTCTTTACTTGTTCTTGAATATTAACGTACAATTTCATAACTACTCTCGCTTTAACAGTGTTTCGGCTTATTGGCAAATCCATTATTCTCTGAATGACTTTATCCTTGTTTTGTAAGTCTTCATACAAATAAGACCCACATTCTAATATTGCTTCCTTGATATAATCACCGGTTTTCCATGCTTAGCTATAATTTTTGAAACTTTAAAACTTGCAGCCACTAAGTTAGAAGAACTTTTAACAAAGTTTGCAAAAGAACTGGATTGTGAAATCGCTTTTTTAACTCACGCGATATATGTTCTTTTTTGCACATCCTCGCGTTTGCCTAAAAGCCAGCTGTGATTGGACTCATAATGACGTTTTACTGATGATGTCCGACAAACAACACTTTCCAAACACATGGCACATAAGGCCTTGTTTTCTCTGTGAATCATTCCATATCTTTCAGTCCACTACTCTTGAAAAGGTCTGCCACTTCCTTCTTCTTCATTAAGTTTTCTTTTTTTAATTTTTAAGAATGACATGTTATGGTAATTATTCTGATAAAAATTTATTGATGGCAACGCTAGCAATCGATGTAAGACTGACACGTTTTCAGTATCAACAAAATGGCGGAAGCTAAGGAGATCTCGTTCAAATACGAGATTTGTCTTGAAAATAGTTTATTATGCCTTATGCTCCCCAAAATGAAACATAGTAATATGAAACAATGATGTGGAATATGATCCACTAGCGCTTCTTCCATATTATTTACAGTTCTCGGAAATAATTGACGTTATTAATTATAGTAATTGGAGATATCCGTGATT